TTCCAACCTAAAGGATTCTATGGACAACAGTGAATATCTCTCAGATTCTCAGGTTTTGATTCTGCAAAAAGAATACTCTTTTTGACTTCATTTTGAAAATACCCAAATACTTAAATATAAGAATCTGCAGGATCTTGCCAGTCATTTCAAAAAAAGCAGACAGTATTCTTCTTTCATTTCCATAACTAGCATCTATTTAGTTCTTTATTAGCACTGTTTATAGAGGAATTGTTCTCATGATTTTAAGTCTTTGCCAATATCATTATTGGTTCAGCAAGCCTTTCCTTGTTTGTTTGGCTCAAAGGAATGGGCAGGAATTATAAGCCATAAATCATTTTGTTCGAAGGCTATTACATGCTGTACATGGTAGTGGTTTTCAAAAGAGGAGCTTGTGTTGTAACTTCAAAGTAGTTATGTGCAAATAAGTTGTTACACACAAAATATTACAGAAACTGTTCTGTTGTGGTTTTTAACATTTAGTATTCGCTTGTCTGCAAATAGTCATTTTGCAGTCCTAGCATAGTTCAAAAAGCTAGGCAGTAGACTAGAGGTTCAAATGCGACTTTTTGTTCTTTCATGTAAGCATCAATTCTTATTACTTTACAATATAAGGGTGATGTGGAAGCACATAGTGCTATGGGGACATCATTGCAAGACATACTTCTTTCTTCACAAGGAGAGAGAAGGAATTTACAGTACATAATTCTCAGGACATGATTTAAATGCTTCATAAGTAAACTTCGGAAAGCAATGAGTTCCAGATACTGTAAATACAACTTAAAATTCTTTCAGAAATGCAGTGAATGTTCCGTTTGCACAGTTGAAGTTTTTCCTAACCCTTGAGTTGTAGCACAGTCATCCTCAGGATTCTTTTGTGATTAAAATCTGGATTTCCATATTACATTGCCATAACAAAGATATAAAAACTCCACCAGCAGAACCCTTAAAAAAAAAAAAAAAAGAAAAAGAAGAAAAGGAAACCATCAAGAGTAAACAAAAGTGCTGATGGCATAGTTTCCCAAAAACATTTCCCTGGGTCACTGTAGTTTGGTCTGAGAGTTTGCTACTGTGTACACACTGCGAGCTAAACGCTGCAATTTCATGGCGTATCAGAAGGAACTGGGCTGCATCCTCTTCCTGTCTCTTCCCCTAGAGAAGTTCTGAGGTTTTTTACTTCTGAGGTTTTTCGTTGAGGCTGTTGCTGGATACGGATATAATTCACCCCCTCCGGTTTCTGCCCTTTTTTCAGAAATTATGAATGAATAGGAATAGTCCATTGCTGTCTCACCATATCATTTTTATCAGTTTATAGATGGAATAGTCAAAGAATTCTTTCTGGATTTTTGGTATTTATATTGTTAGTACTCTTTACACATAAAGTAAATCCCAGTTAGTCAAATATGTATTATTTAAAAATAACAGTATATAAATATTAGAACAACAATATAAAAAGAGAAAATGCTGTGATTAAGCCTGAATTAATGCTTAAGAAAATCTAAAGTTTTCTGCTGTTTCTCACCAATTTGAATTGGTTTGGGTTTATAATTCTACTTTTTACTGGTTTTAATATTTTGAGGTCCTTAAGCATTTGTCTGTCTTTAAATTACAGTGCCATAAGAACAAGAGAAGTAAAGCTGTGGTCTGTTCAGTCGTGTTTTAGAACCTGATACTGACCAATACCAGGAAATTCAAAATGAAACTATGGGCAGTTGTGAAACATTCTAAACACAGGGAAAGTGTTTTTAAGCTTTTTAGGGTGGAAGGCAGCATAAAAATTGAATCAAAGCTATGCAGTACAGTTCCAAAACTTTTGATTTTAAACATTTCTTCTTACTGGTATGCATATTTTTCCTATTTATATAAATGCTCTTTGCACGTACAGGACTCTTTCAATCTTACCTTATGGGGTTGTGTTCCTCAGGATAATTACACATTGTACACAGAAATCTTGTCTTGCCTTGGGATTTTTTTTCAAGATTCCTAAAGAAATCACCGAAGCACTCTGTAATAAACCAGAAATGTTGATTAAAGCCAGTATTTTACTCTAAAAAATTAATGTATGGCATAAATACACGAGAGAAGAGATGACTACCAAAGTCTTACCATGACAGGGTTTTGATCAGCTGACATTTTCCCAAAGTAATTCCACTAAGGAAACCATAGCCACAGTTTCTGGAAAAACAAGCTCTCCCTTTGACATAATAGCACATCTACTTCCTTCTGCCACAAATATCTGTACTGTCTTGGTTAAGCTGGGGGAGGAAATTTCCTACTCTTTTTCCAGGTGATGGCCACAAATCTGAGTGTGTGAGCAAAACATACTGTCTATGCCAATAGAAGTTTCTGTGTTGTCTCATCCCTCCCAGGACTCTGCTTTGCCTGATACTTTAGAATGCAGAAGAAAATGCATTATTTGTATCACTGTTCTGAGTTAGACACAGCTCTGAAACATAATCTTATGTAGCCATGTACTTAAGTGTTCAGGAACATGAAGAAAATACAGTTACAAGGCTGCAGATCAGAAAATCATCAAAAAAAACCAAGTCTAGTCACATCTAGAACTTTCACAGTCAGGGTGGAGAAGTTATTCTCAAAACCAGATAAAACTGTGTTTTTTATTTTTTGTATCTTTACTGTGTCCCCTCTTAAGCGTCTCATGTCTGGACAGTTTCAGTCTTTACATCTCTCTTGATAAAAGAATCCATCCAGACTTCTAACTTCTTTAATTAACTATAGCTCTTTTGTTTCTTTTTAATGGATTGTCAGAAGTAAGTGCTGTATATTGTAGCACATGCTCATTTTGTAAGCTACAACAGTTCTTATTCTGTGGAGATACAGAAGAGTTTTCCTGTACAGAGTGAATGTTTAAAGCAAATTTGCCTATTTACTCTTGTAAAACTGCCCAACTGCCTTATCATATACAAGCAACATAAATAAAAACATGATACTAAAATATTAACAAAAGCATTTTTTCAATTACCTGCATTATTGCAGTCAGCTTCTTGTAAGGTATCACCACTGCTTTAAGACTTTAAATTGATGAATGCTGCAAACAACTTTAACAACAGAAATGCCACACTGTGATATAGAAAATCAATACATTTTCATTTCTTTGCTTATCGAGTGTAATACAGTAATTATAATACAGGAGTCCGTCTTAAGAGATGATTGTGAAGATCAGTTTTTTTGTTTAATTAACATTAACATTCCCATTAATATCAAAATCAGAAAGATATGCAAGAGCTGTTTGTATTGCTTAAGTATAGCATAAATGTTTATGTACTGGGCAATGTATTAAGAAATAAAAAGTAATGTTACTTAGAGATTGTGTATCTGGTGATCTAGAGAGCCAACAACTGCAGATGGACCTGCAGAAGATGGAACTCTTGGAAGGCAAGATGGTTGATGAACTGGCTTCTCTGAAAGACAAAATTGAACAAACAAAAATTGATTTGGAGGTCTATAATGATTTGCCAGCTCTGAAAGCATCAGGAGAAGAGAAGAAAAAGGTAATGCATGAAGCCTTGGATTATTCAGAAGTTACATGGTTTTGACCACCTAGTGCAGGGGCACCAGGACCTATGACCGGTATCCCAAGTGACAGCTGGAAACTGGACTTGCACACCAGTGCAAATTAATCCAAATGGTTCTCTGCTTATATATGTGACTGTAATGGTTTGAAACCTGCTGCCCCTGGTGGGTGGAGATCTGAAACCCTAAACCAGGTACAAGCCTGAATGAAAGGGGCGTACACCTGTCCTATTCCCACTCCCCTTTTCCTGTGACTTATATATGTGACCAGGGTACATAGAGCAAGCTATCCCTTCTGATAACTTCCTTCCACAAAATTTCCCACCTATTTTATTCATTCATCTGAACTTTTCCACTGTAACTTATGACTGCCCAGAAGTTTGAATTTAGCAATCTAACCATGGAACCCAAACAAAAAATAAAAATAAATAAAACAAATAAAAATCTATCCTGCACTGTATTTGCTCTAAGACAAACTCTGTCTAGAGCACATCAGCATGGATGGTCCAAGCCTACAATTTGGTCATAACCATTGAATGTTATCTTTAGGGTAGAGCTAGAGAAAAGCCTTGTGACTTCTTTATGCATATGATCTTGTTCTGAAAGGAGGAAAAAATAGCATCTTGAAAGCCGAATTAAAATAGTTTGCCTGTAGTCCACAGCAAATTAACTCATCCATTAATCAGTTTGTGTTGTTTTTTTCCTGATTAGAGACTCCAGGATGACAAAGAAAAATTAACAAAACATAGCCATGCTTTCAAGAAAATAATGGATCACTTGAATACAGAGTATGAGACACTCAAAAGAGAGCTGCAAGAGAATGAGACACATTCTCAGGTATAGCTCAAGCTACATATTATATCTTCGGTTTTTTCTTGTCACTTTTCTCATACACATGAAGCAATGCATGGTTGGAATCAGCTTATTCCTTCTTGGGGAGTTTTCAAACTTTTTTTTTTTTTTAAACAAAAGGTAATATTGTGCCAAGAAATTTCTTGTAAGCTTTGAATTTCAGCTACTAGGCTGAGGTTTTTGTGAGCTTTAAAACTGCGAATCTTTTGTTTAAGTGTTTGTATTAATCTTGCTCGGAACTCTTCCTCTTTTTGCCCTTTGCTTGAGGAGTTTCAAAATTAGAAAGAAACCACAGGGAAAAAAAAAAAAGTCACTACTAATTAGACAAGATTCCTTTTGCTTTTAAAACTGTAGTGATTTTTTTTTTTCTTGCAACATGTCCTTTTAATTCCATTTCCCTTCTGCCAATCCTTCTGCTCCTTGCAGACCACTGAAGTTTTAGGGTTTTTTCACACTTATTTAAAGCCAAGAAACTATATTTACGTTTCAAAACTGATTTGGGAAATAAGAGTTTATAAACTCTAATGTTGCTAAAAGTTTATGTAAAGTACGGCATTTCTTCAGTCCATTAAGCTGTGACAGTTCTATTTCAGTGTGTGCACAAAGGATTTGTTACTCTGCTTTTGGCATCATGAGTGTAAATGTCATGATGAATAAAGGTATGTCTGAAAAGATTAGCTGACATGCATCAGGCATTTTGAAACACAAATGGCATTTATGCATCGTGAGGTTTTAGGCAATTTTGCAAGCAGTGAACTGTATGAGTTGGGGCCTTCGAGGAGTTACTATAAAAATGCACTGAATAGTTCCTTTTATATATATCTGACAATATTTTAAACCTAGGCTTCTTTACCAGCTGTATTAAATATAGCAACATCTACAAAAGGGGCAGTAAAAATTATAATTGGTCAGAAATATAATATCTTGTAAATAAATGACTGATTCTTAACTGTGAGATTTCTTTTGAGTGATAGAGCAACTATTTTCATGTTTCTAGCTTAAGAAAAAGCTTTTAAATAAAATGTTGCAATATTTTCCTGATTCATTACCTTACTTTCCACTGCAAGTTTAGCCTCAATGATTTTCAGGTTTTGCATTTAAAAATAACATCTGCATATCTTGAAATGCAGAACTTTGAACAGTAGGATCAGAAAAACAAATACGAAGTAGTATTGTAAGGAAGCAGCCATCGATACAATGTCCACATTAGTTTCCTGTTGATGCTGAAAGTATTGAAGAAGTGCCAGCACTTAACCCACACTCCCACAATCTTCTTGCTGCAGCTCTCTTCTTATCGCAGCTTCTGGCATCAGGCAGGAAACTTGACTATGGAAGTAAGGAAGTTTCTTCTGTATAGCTCAAAGTCGAAGGCAGTGTCAGGAAATGTTGTATCATTGGTGATTTTAGATCTTACTGATTTTACGAAGAGATTATTTAAATTATATGAAGTATAGTGAGAATTAATATCTCCCTGCACTGTTCACCTTTTTACTTATGAGTTGCTTACACATTTCCCTATATGACAAATCTTGAACCCTCCTCTGATTTTTTTTTTTTTCCATATACCACTGCAGTTGCTTGCAATGCTTTAATAAAAATAGATGGTTTAATTGCTAAGTTATATATGGGTTAATCACTGGCAGGTTTAAAAATCATTTTGCTATTGTTTCTTATTTCTGTGAGTTTTCTGTGTAATAACTTACTAGGTGGTAAAATACAAGGAATTGATACGTTTTTAGGATATTCCTTGTATAAACTATGTGTGTCGTTATCGCTTTCATTTCTGGCTCTTTTTATGTTTTCAGCTTACAAATTTGGAGAGGAAGTGGCAGCACCATGAGCAAAATAACTTTATGATGAAGGAATGTATCCTTTTCTTTAAGAAATACAGTGAAATTCACACACTATTAATTGAGGAAGAAGTCTGTTTCCTCCAGCAGAATAAGACAGGACGGAATGAGGAGCAGGAGACAGGGGAGCAGGGGAAAGGTGATGGTTTGCCAGTGTCTGGTTATCTGATAGGTATTATATATAGCAAAACTCCCATGTGTTGTCTGAAACAATTTTATGGGGTCCTAAAGCATAAGATTTGTCTTGCAGTCTTGAGTTTTTCCTGTTGGGTCAGTTTTGACATTACATTTCATACAAAGATCATCTTCATGTCTGTCCAGACACGTCTGAAATTATCTGGCAAGTGTAGAGTCATTTGAAAATCTGTATACCATGGTGACTTTACATTGTATTTTGCAGTTTTAAAACACCAGAAATATCAATGACAGTAAGCAACAAATTGTATACATTTAATGCATTTCCTATTAAATAAAAGAGGACTTGCTTATTGGGGAAAAAAATCACATAAATGTGGTAAAATATGACAAGGAGATGCTTCAAAATGGGCAGGGATGGGGGAATCTGTCATTATGTGATGCTAATTAAGGAGTTATGTTATACTAATCATACAAATTCCAAAATACCAGCAAAGTCCGACTTGCTGCAAGTGACTTTCATAATGCAGCTTTTGAAATTAGGAAGTGAAGTTAGAATCGATGGTTGCTCTTACCTTGTGCTGTTGTAGAGTATGGTTGCACTTTTATTTTCCATTCTAGGGACTTTCAACTCACTACAATAAATTCACTTCTTTAAAATTATCTAGGAAACAAAATTCTGAAATCTCAAAGATGCATAAAATCACTATTAAATAATTACGGTACAAATGTAATTTGTAGAAGTAGCAGCAAAGCTAGACCATATCATCCAGTGTTCTTTGTTGGACAATGGACATGGATACATGTCTCAGAAAATGGCACAGGTATACATTTCAAGCAATTCTATCATAGCCTACCCATCAGGGAAAAAATTGGTCGGTGTATAGCACTGTCTTTTTCATATACCAAATATCCCATTTCTGCTATCTGGTAAGTGGTCAAAGTCTTAGAAAAAAAGTCTGAAAAATGTCTTGGACAACGTAATGCAATTTGATCCACCTCCTCTATGAAGGCATAAAGTCATTTCTAAGGAAATGTTTTGTTAAGGCCAGAATCTTAGATCCTATTTTTTTTCTAAACAAGAAAATTCTAAAACAAATAAAGATAAAAAGTTGATCAGGATATTAAAAGTACCACCTAATTTACTGCGACGTATTTATTACCTGTGAAAGTGCAGGCCCTTATGTGGAGTTTTGTGTCTGCTTGGGCCAGTGGGAAGAAAGGTCCTGCTTTCTTGGACTGGGACTTCTGTAGTTCTAAACTGTGTGGCTGTGAATAGCTGAGTGCCTTTAACTTGTTTTGTTTGCCGTGTAACAAACAGCAGATTCTTCTGCAAGGGATCCACAGCCTATATATTTAAAAGCAAAACAGACTCAGGTATGTAATCTCCTTTTTTTTCCATGCTTGACATGAGATAGCATCTGGCAAATTGATGTAAATCTTTTAGACTCAGTTTGAGTTTTTTCCATTATTCCAGCCCTTGACAGTTTTCACAGAAGGAAACTTACTATATTTTGGTTCCCTTGTGATCTCTAATTATGCTAATATTTATACTGGCAGTTTGTTTCCTTAATTCTTTCAATCAGTCATAGCAACAAAAAGTCAGGAGAGTGACTACCAGCCAATAATGAAGAACGTGAGAAAGCTGGTCACAGAATACAACAAAGCTCTCATAGAAGCTTTACAGAACACCAAGAACTGAACCCAGGCACTTCCTTCCTGCCCCAATGGACCAACAATGAGAGATGTGCACAGGCAGCATGGAAAGCTGGACTCCTGATCTCATTTGCTCACCACTACAGTGACAGATGTTCTTGAAAGTATTTTTCCAGGTTTTTAGAAGTCACATATTTTACTAGTATCCTTCCTTTTGCAAAATTTAAAACTTTTAGAAATAAATTTCTGAATTTTAGAAACTGTAGAAATAAGGAGACACCGCACAATGAGCGTAAGATCAATGGAACAGTTCCCTGAGGCCCAGTCTGCTGGATTGCATCTCAGAGGTGGAACTCGAGTCTGCTCTACACAACGAATCTCTGATTGTCTTGTAATCTTATCCCTGCCAAACAGAATAGGAGTTTGCCTTGAATGAGGACTGCCTGACAGGCTCTTACAAGCATTATCTTAAATGAAGTGTATAATAAGACAAATGCTAATATCACCATCGGATCCCTATTTAAGTAGCAATTGATAAGAAGTAAGGAAAACTTCTAAGGGTGACGAGCACACTTTTAAGTCAGAATAGCTTCATGGTATAAAGTCTTATAGTAAAAGCGAAGGTACTTTGCGTCTGTCAGTAGATATACAATTCCCCGTGGAGAACTGATTAACTTCCCCAGTTTGTATTCTTTTAATGTAATTATAAAGCAAGAACTATAATAAAAAGTAGTGAAACACAGCTAATACTGACCTTGTGTGGAGCACTTTTATAGTATTCACCAATAAAGGAAATAGTGGAAAATTACTTGTGTTTTCTGCAATGCTTTTTTTTGCCTCGGGTTTCAAGCTCCAATGTAATTTTTTTGCTTTGACAAAAATACATAGAAACAAATCTGATGTAGAACAAAACCAGGACTGATACAGAAATAGAAATGCACTCTGTGATACAGAAATTTCAGGAAATGTTTACATAAAACAAAATTTCCATCTATATGTTTCCCTTGCATCCTACATGTAATGTAATGATCAACTACCCATTGATAATTTTGTTCACTTGGTATGTTGTGAGCTAGTCCTGATCAAAGAGAAAAAAGCGCAGTTGACAAGAGATAGGAATTTTAGCCAGACAGTAATTTAGCCTTTTACAAAAAAAGGAAAAAATTAAAACCATCATAGTCTGAATTTATACTTGTTCTACCCTCTTAGAGAAGTTTTCTGAAGAAGAAGTAGACTATATGCATCACTTTATAGAACTGGAGTAGACAAATAATGAGAAAATGTGCGGAGTCTGTTAAAATGGAAGTTCCGTATTTTTGTCACTAAATTTCTCCAAATCTGTGGTTGTCATTTTGAGTATAAAGAGGTATATAAAACAAAACTATTGAAGAGTCTTGCAGAGAGCACCATGCTTCCAAATTCAGCACAGTAAATGCTGCTGCTCTGTATATTTATGTCTGTATAATGGAACAGGATTTCTATAAACCAAGGACTGTTATCTAGGGGAAATTCCCACTAATGTCTCTTCCTTCCTGTCAAAGTTTCAGCTATTCCAGAGAGAGACCATTATTTGCTTAGATAAAGTTAAAGTCGAATATTCTCACCAATCAAACCATCAGCAGGAGAGATTGCCTCCTGAATTCCACTTTTGCTGCAATAATATATTTTAATGAACAATGGAAAAAAAGCTGCAGACTGAATAAACAGATTGCCTTAAATTCACTTTCACTGTGGGAAGGGGGTGGTTTTATTCCTCAGTAGATTTTCTGTAAGATAGCACAGTAAAGTTTACAGGTTTTTGTTGTGTTCCCCAGGATGTTCCTGTCATGGAAGCCCTCTCTCCACCTTGCTGTTCTTCTCCTTGTTCTGTTGAAGGATGTCCAGATGAGCTGCTTCTGTCTGAGAATCTCATCAATCATTCCATCTTTTAACAGTTCATCCTTGTGATCCTGGATCATGGTCATGGTACCCGTGGCTGGAAAGAACTGTGTGGATTCTACACGTTGAGCTACGCCGGAGGTGTTTAGTCTCCCGGCAGGAGATGAAGAACTCATTCCCAGTAGTGACTTGAGTAGATGGTACCCATATCTAGTTCCTAAAGCCTCAGTGAAACTAAGCTTTTATTTAACCTTTACTTGTACTTTTTTTTTTTTTTTTAGTACAAGTTTAAGTAACAAGCACATAGCATTTTTTCTTTGAAGCTCCTGTGTGTCTTTGAAGACACTAATTGAGTATACAGGTCTCTCTAGCCAGGCAATTTTTATCCATTTTATGCTATAACTTCAAACTGAGAAGGTATTAAATTAAGTGGCAGCACCTGTGGGGTGGAGAAATTTAAAACCTTTTCTGCTCATCTGTCTCAGTAGGGCTGAACTGAGGTGCCCAGGAAAGCTGTTCAATATTCAAGGACCACCTTCTCCAAGCCCAGGAGCAATGTGTCCCAAAAAAGAGGAAGGCAAGCAAGAATGCCTGGAGGCCTGCATGCATGAACAAGGAGAACTTGGGCACACACTTAGATGCAAAAAGAAAGCCTACAGGGAGTGGAAGCAAGGGCAGGTATCCTGGGAGGAATACAAAGAAGTTGTCTGAGCAGCTGGGGATCAGGTTGTAAGAGGTAAAGCCCAGATAGAATTAAATCTGGCCAGGGACATCAAGGGTAACACATAAAACTTCTACAGTGTTAAAAGGAAGGCTAGGGAAGACGTAAGCCCTCTCCAGAGGGAACCAGGAGACCTGATTGTGAGGGACATGGAGAAGGCTGAGGTACTTGACTTTTTTGCCTCAGTCTTCACCAGCAAGGGCTCCAGTGCCAGTGCCCAAGTTGCAGAAGACAAAGTCTGGGACCAAGAGAAGGAAGGTCTGCCAACAGTAAGGGAAGATCAGGTTCAAGACCATCCAGGCCTGTCCTGAGGTATTAGGATACCAGGATTGATAGTGTCTGTTACTCCAAACCCTACTTCATGGCCACGCTGCATAGAAATAAGCATTTCTGTTTCAAAATCTTCAACCAGAGGTTCTGTTACTTCTATGTTTGTGCTTTTCATGAAGATGAACACAGGAATAACTGTCGCTATTCCTGGCTCATAACTGGACAGTGCTGCACCTACCTTGTTCCCGTATTCAAGGACATTGTCATATCTTCAGGCAAACTGTATTTTTGCTGCAGGCAAGAGTTAACCTTTTTGTTGGTCCTCCTGCTTCATCTTACCTTTATTGCTTTTCATTGTGATAAAACCCCCCTTATTTTTCTTTCAAAATGAGTCGATTTTTCCCTTGGGTTTAGCGAGCCTAGAAAACAACATGCAGCATTCCTGGCAGAAATTCCAGATGGGCAGAACACTGAGATTCTTTTTTCGTTCTTTCTGCCTGATGACTTTAGTG